TGAGCACACACACACACACACACACACACACACAGCATGGTGTAACTTGAACTGCCATCTGAGTGTTTGACCCTGTCTGTGAGAAGGCACAATAAGCCATGTGTTGAGGGAGGCAGAGAGGTTCAGGTCTCTCTCTCAGTGTATATTTTTTCAGTTTCCTGTTTTAATGATCTCTCTGTGCTAATGTGGCTAACAGATGCTGACTTAACTCAATTTTTCCTCAAGCTGTCTTCTTGTTTTCTCTGTTATCTCTGACCTCACTCCTCAACTCTTTGTCCCAATGCTACTTACTGGCTAATTTGGATTTAAATTCAATTCAGACCTCCATTCAAATCAACTCCATTAAATTCAGCTAATCCTTCTTGAATACTTCCTCCTCCCCACTCCTCTGTTGTATTTGGTTCGTTCTTATTTCCATTTCTGTCCTGTTTTCTGTTATCCTCCCCACCTCATCCACCCACACTGATTGGCTTCTTTTGAATTTTCAAACAGTGGCCACACCCACTTTTTTCCTTTCAGTCTCAACACACACGTTCTCTCTAGACACAGGATGTACGCTCATCCTTTTCCCTCCCTCCTTCCGTCCTTCCATCCTTTCTCCCCTTCCTTCCAAAACAACCAGATGGTGAGACAGCGGCCGAGAGAGACAGACAGCGACAGCAGGCGGAGAGCCCTCAGAGAGTGACATCACGGCCTCTCTCTCGCACACACTCTTTCTCTGAGAGGGTATAAAGGACTCATTGTATCCTCCATCACATGGAAAATGTTGGAGGAGCTCAGTGAATTTGACGGAGTGCATCCACAGTCCAGGGTCAGTGTGACAAAAAACCAAAAAAGAAACACACAGAACTTTACCCTGAACTCAGTGTGTTCGTGCATAAATGGTCTTTATCAAGGATTCCCGAGGGGACTGGAATGACTTGTGTGTTTATATACACTGTGAGAAACATTGAGAGTGTGTGATTGTATAAGTGTATTTGCTGTATCTGAGTAAACGTGAAGGAATGAAGGAGTGATCCTCAAGTGATGTGGCGTTCAGTGTTTCTAACTTACTCTGATAATTAGACCATATATACCGTATCTTTTAAAGAGGGAAAATTATAGGAAGCCTGACCTCTCCACTGTCTCATGACTCCAACGTGGTGGAGAAAATGGGTCATGTCAAGAGACAAAAACACCATCCAAAACAGAAACAAAAGAAAAGAGCGATGGGCCATTTTAAGGTCCTTAAATCTTGGAAAAGAGGAGTTTTGTTTTTCTCTGCTGTGTCTTAAGTCCGGTCACATCCCCAACAACCCATTACATTGGTTTTACTGTTAAATGTCTTTTCAATGTCTAGCTATCTAGCCATTAACTATCTACCTTGCTAGCTTGACCATTAGCAATATAACAAGGCAATAAGTCACCAGAGAGAAACAAAAATTCAGGGTTCATTGGTTTCAGATAGGATGAAGAGTATGTCTTTATCATCAACATAAAAATTTAAATGTCATCTCTCTTCTAGAAAGATAAAGAACAAATATCTACATTTAAACATTCCTTGACAAAAAAGATTTGTATTTCTCAGAGCTGCTTTTGTCGGCTGATAATCATCTACATATTTCACACAGAGGACACTTACTTTGACGTCTTGTTCCAGTGTTCGTATCAGTTCTCCATCCACTTGCCCTGTTTGGGCCACGCGGAGAGAGCGCCGCTCTGCTTTCCTGAGCCGGTACTGCAGGATGCGGCAGGTCTTATTTGCCTGAAAAACAAAACATGGAGAGAGTTGCTGATGTTATCTGCCATCTGTCTAAACTAACTTTGTTACTTTGCTTCATTTTATTGTTTGCCTTGCAGCAGCCATTAATATAGGACTGAACAAACATTAAGCAGCACTAGCTTTTTATTCCAGCCTATGTGTTAAATAAAAAACTAAAACTCTTCCATTAAAGTCATTTTGAAGATTCAGAGTGTACCAGACTTTGTGTAGCACCTCCTGCTCAAAGATGTTATGATGATTGAGTAGAAACCATCTCACCTGCCTGTTTAAATTTTTTGCATGTAGCCTCTTTCCTTTTTATAGATTTAAACATCTGAATCAAGAAAGAAGATTCAAGACAGATTCAACAAAGGATTGTGCTCTCATGTAGTCAGGCTCTCACACGTACCTGCTCCAGCTGTTGACGTAGCTCCTGCAGTTGATAGACGTCTTCTTCCATGTACATGTCCCTCATCTCCAGCATCTCGGACCTCAACTCCTCCATCTCATCCTGGACACAGAAAGAAAAAGACAATGTATTAGTTCATCTGTCATTTTTACGTGAAACATTGAGTCAGGAACTCCTCCAATATCAAACTGTAGAGAGAGAGAGAGAGAGAGTGCTTTTGCGTGTTAGAAATTGTAACTCAAAGTGTTGACTGCATATATTCAAGTCCGGCAAAAAAGGATCTTTAAATGTTTGATAGAGGTCGTTGTCACTCGTTAATGCATCCCATCAATCACTGCACACTGTCATTAACCATCTACCACATCTTCAGAATAACCATTACAACAATTAGTGTCCTCTTAAAATTACATGCTATGTGATATTTTCTCAAGTCAGATACAAAAGGTCATCAGAAATGGAGATCTACAGCTGTAAGGAGCAGAGTGGTACCTCAGAGTAATAGGATACGACACTGTATTGATTCATCTTTCTCTCTCCCACCCAAGAGGTAGTGCAAAGGAGGTCAAAGGTCAGCGTCAGATGATTAGATTAGATTAGATTACCTCAGAGGAAGATAACAGCCCCTGCAGGGAAATTCAGTCCTACAAGCATTAAGAGGAAAGGAAATTCCTTTAGTGAGGGTGGCATTAAAATACTCAAAAACAAGCCAAGCGATAATGCATAATGTACAGGAGAGTTTTTATCTACCTCTATTATACATATGGAGATAAATTATTAACTTTAGCTTGGCGGCATGAATTTTCTCATCCCTCTGGATCCTATTAGGTGCAGCTCTTTCATTCACACGTAGGTCCGCTATGAAATTAACATTACTCCAAGAGAAGTTTGGGACACTGGGCTTTATGTTACACAATGGAATGCTTCCACCCGCGTGTTGGTCAAAATCTATGTGCATGTGTAGTTTAAGAAGTACAAGCGGCTGTAGTGGTAGTGCTCTCATAATTTACTACAGTAGAAAATGTGGGTCAGCCTCTGCAGTCACTATGGACGACGACAACAACAAGGCTCTGTGTGTGTGTGTGTGTATGTGTGTGTGAGTGAGTGAGTAGGAGTACTAGGAAAGTGAGACAGGGTACAACAATGGGTTAGGGTGTGTCCTTGTCTCCACCACCTTCAGAATAAACAGCTTGTGTATAAGTATACTTCATAAACATGGTGGTGATAGAGGTGAGTTGTGGGTTTAGCATGCAAAGTGTGTGTGTGTGTGTGTGTGTGTGTGAGTGTGTGTGGGTGTGTGTGTTGATTAAGCTAAAAAAAGACTGCAGCATCGTATGCAAATGGTGGGAAGAAGGAAGAAGGAAAGAAAGAAAGAAAAAATTGTAGACGATGGAAAAACATGACATCAGAGAGATGTGAATGTGAGGACACAGAACCAGGGAATCACAAGTTAACGTGGCGAGAGGCAGAAAGGCGCTCCACTGACCCGCTTTTCACAGCTATCTAAAGAAGAACAGGAAAGATTCTACCATGTGATCAAGCAGCCAGTCAGGAGATGGAATCAAGCAGATGTCAGATTTTAGTGAGCCAGATGAGATAATGTTTGAAATGAGAGCTCTCGCACATCTGCTGCAGTAACAGTCCACGGCAGAGTGGGTGAGTTACTCACATTTTTTTATTTTTACATCATGTTTTTAAAGCTATGAGGCCAAATCATATACAGTCAGATCCCTGTACTAGGCCTACTATCAACATGACTGTGCATTTTGCTGTATAAAGAAATATGTATTTTTCAATGTGTTCTGTTTATAATGAGTGAAAGAATAATAAAGAAAAATGCTGTTAATGTTTTAGAGGTAATAAATGTATCCCTGTTCAGACCTGGTATGAATATCCCTCCAGGGAGATCTGATCACACGTGGACAGCTCTAAACTCGGATAATTTCAGGTCTGAACAGGCTCAAGGAAACAAAAACTTGCCAGATGTGTTCATAGTTATGATCAGCCCATTAGAAACATGTTTGATGATGATGATTTCATTGTTGGTCACTTGCAGAACAGGATGTGGCAGTGCTCCTGCAGCTTTTTTAGCCACAGCCTGTATAATTTGATGGTAAAATCAAGTTTTATATAGTATCTCATATATAATTAATTTATCTTCCCCAATCTTATATTTTTGATATTTAGCATTTCAGTTAAGGACAAACACCCATGAGGTCATGATTATAAGGCATTTTGTAAGGTAAGCTTATTAAATGTTTTCTGTATCATCATAATGGAGGTTGTTGTATTGTAAACTGTTAAATTGTTCAACCAAAGAACTCATCTGAGTATGAAAGTAAAGTAGTGGCCGAGCAAAAAACATCACCTATCTATACAGACGGCACAGATGCTTAACTGTGATCTGAAATTGTAGTCACAGGACAGACATTCCAGACAAATCGAGTCCTGAAAGACGCATGAGCCTCTGTCTGGTTTAGCTCTAATATCAGCTCTGTAGTAAAGGCCTACATGTTGGTAACTGCAGACCCTCATCATAATTTGATCATCTTCTCAATTTCATGCTGGGTGAAAGCTGCTTCAACGTGTGTGTGATTGGCAGGAGTGACCAATGTGTTTGACAAAATACAAATTGTATGTCACCTAATGATAAGTACAGCCGAAGTTAAACTACAAGTTTGGTTCAAAAGAACCCAGAACTTTTAGCCAAGAATCTTTTTCAATAAACTAAAAGGTTCCTGGCATCAAAAACGTCTGGGGACCATTGTTCACCAGCGTTCCTACTGCATAAACCTCAGGAGCAAATTAACCACTACTGGTGTCAAATTAGCCTCTTGACATATAAACAACTAGCAACTACAACAAGCTGCTCCACACTAGTCCACCGGGACTATACAACAATAATGATGCTATATAAACCAAGCACCGCTGCAACATCGGTAAACATCGAGGAGATTCAGATATTGATGCTGTTGTGTTTTATTGCCTAGCAACACTGGATAAGAGAGGAGCGCTAGTAACAGAATTAGAAAAACTGTGAATGCAGCTACAGGTTTTTAAAAATGGTGGCGGAAATAGAATGCTGGAATTCTCAACCAATCAGGTATGTTTATCACTGAAAGCCACACCTAAAGCTACTTTTTTTTTACTTTTTAAAGTATTACACCCCAGCAGAGACTTTTTGAGGGTAAAGAATATTTCCCTGGAACTTAATTAATACCCTTGTTCCTACGGCAGACACACAAGCACTTGTAAAGGTTCCTAGTTCCGGGGTAAAGTTCCTGCAGTTAAAACGAGGCTGACTACTTTAGGAAGGTAAGTGCGAGAGAGGGCAGTTACTGAAAGTATAGTCGGTAGGACAGTATGATTGTTAACCCCATATTATCTCTACTGGCTCCAACAGATCTTGACAGAAACATTACATACTGTGCTGAGATCTAGTCATTTTAATGAGGTTTCAACAGCTGCACCAGCAAAGAGTCAACACATCAAAATGCAATGCATGAGCCTATAGTGGAAGATGGAAAAGCCAAGAGGATTACAGCTTGCACAGAAAGACAAACACGGTGGATGCGCACAGGGTTAGAAACAAAGAGATGGAATTGGAAAGTGAGAATTACATCGTGCATCTGTAGGAAATCTGAGGGAGAGATTGAGAGAGTCTGGCATCTCGGCAGCCTGTTGTTTTGATCTTCTGATAACTAACCAGGTGTTCCTCACAGCTGCAACAACACACACAACCAGACTCACTCACTTCACTGCAGGGCCTCCCATGAGGCTTTGGGGTGGTCTAATAAGCACTGCAGCACTGATGCATGCTGTCCTACAGTATAGTCAGTCAACAGCACTGGCCCGCCACACACATACACACAAGTCCATCTACTCCGCCTGAAAACACAAGAAAGGAGCAGCTCTGTCCATCACTGAAGACAGGTATGAGGACATAAGGTTTTTGTTCCACTTATAAAGAGTTCAGTTTTTAGCTAACAAGGAAAGACAACCATCAATGAAGTCCGATTTTAGGGGGCCACCGAATGCAATAAGGATTAGGGATCCCAATGACTTATTTATCATCGAATAATCTGCTGATTATTTTCATATTCAAACAATCGTTGTTTTTAAACATCCGAAAACACTGATAACAACCACCATCACAGTTTCCTACAGCACAGTACTGAATCACCAAATGTCTTATTTTGTCAGCTTAATCACTTCATTTGAAAATGAGTCATTGAAACAAAGTTCATTCTCACACTTAAAGGTACAGTGTGTAGAATTTAGTGACATCTAGAGGTGAGCTTTCATGTTGCAGCTGAATACTCCTCATCTCACCCTCCCCTTCCAAACATGAAATGAAACCTGTGGTGAACTTCAGTTGTCATGAAAACTCAAAAGGTTTTAGTTTGTCCAGTCTGGACGACAGTAAAAAACATGGCGGCCCCCACAGAGAGGACCCCCCCTCCATGTAAAATATAACGTTTTTAAATATAAAGAGCCCATTCTATGGTTAAGAAAACTACAATTCATACAATTGAGATGAAACACACAAGTGAAAACATCACTAGGATTATTTTATATTCAATTTCTGCCAAAAATCCCTTTCACCTAAATCTTACAAATTAAACTCAAAGAGTCTGAAACATCAAATCTTTGGCATTTTTACTTGAAAGGGAAACAATAGCAGTAGTATAATTAGCAGTAAATTCTCCAACACTGTTGCAGAGCCCCCTGAGAAAAGAGCTGGTGGTCCCGCTGTGAAGACAAGTGCCGTTAATAAATCAGCTTCCCCAATCAATCTCTGACAATTATTGGCTTGTCTGGTCACTGCCAGTTAGTGCTTAGGTACATGCTAATGTTATTGATCACCCTTCTAATCAATCACTCTCAAGGCAGAATGGATCTGCTCGAGTGGTGGACCCACGTATATTACATGTCACCACCTACAGACATGAGGACGCTGAGAAAAAAATGCCTTTAGTATCAAAGTCTGCTGACAGACCATACCTTCAGTTACTGTTAACAAATAAACAGGGATCGAAAGTTCAGAATCCATGTTTTACTGAGTATTGTACTCATCCAGACAATCACATGACACTGCAGGCAGCATGGTGAATTAGCAGCATGGCAGAATGAGACACATTTCACTGCATTCTCCAGACTGACCACCCCTCAGGCTGCTGAGTGAGGTCACATCCTCTGCTCCATCATGTGAGCAGGTGGAAAACAAGAACAGGGCCAATCATGTTGGAGAGCCACTGTCTGTCCAGAGCTGCTCCATCCACGATATAAACTGTTTACAGTGTGTCTGCTGACAGCCATAAAGCGTGGCCTGTCTGTGGCTGCAGGGCTGCATCTTTGTGCTGCTGGGGCTGCAGACACACTATTCATAATATTTTCCTTGTAGTGAGTAGTATTGGATGGGATCCAAAGGATTCTCTACACATGGGAGATAAGACAGAGTGAAGTAGTACATACAAATAACTGGATCACAAAGAGCAGCACCAAGATAGTGACACCTGACCCCATAGAAAACAATGCATATCTAATGCTTTGGGAAACACTGGAAAACCACTTGCATGGAATCCTTGGTTGACACTTGACTTACTTTGAGGTAATCGTTCTCCGACCTCAGCTCCTCTATCTCCCTCACAAACTCCTCCTGCATGCCGTCCATGAACTCCTCTGTCAGGTCAGAGAAAGCCAGGGACGTGCTCGCTGGCACCCTGCTGTCAAACGAGGTGACCGAGCGCTCCTCGCCGGGGGATATGCTCCCTTCCCCGGTCTCCACGCCAAGGGTGAGCCGGTCCTTGTCGTCCCTCTCCCCCGCTGAGCAGGTGGTCTTATTGGCGGCGGCATGCTGTCCAACTCTATCCGACAACGCGCCATTCCGTAGCGGCCTGTCTCCGTCCGGCCCGCCGCCCCGGCTGCTCCTCGACTCGGCGTCGCTGCTCACTGCGTCCGCGGAGAGCTTGTTTTCCTCGGAGGCGCAGTCCGAGAGCTCGGAGCTGCTGTCGGTCGGGGAGAGCTTCCCCGGGGCGCAGCCGGAGTCCTTGGATAAATCGTCGGATCCTATGCTGGCGTCCGACACCTTCCTCCGCCCCCCGGTGCTTTTGGTCGCCTTGGACGCCGAGCTCTTGGACAACGCGGCGGCGGAGAAGGAGGATTTTCCGGGCGTTTTGCCGCCACCACTCTTCTCCGCTCTGCCGTCCTTCCCTGCGAGACTCCCCACGGGGCTGCGCCTGGAAATGCGGCTCCCCAGGTGGATGGCTCCGGGCTTAACGCTCAGGGTAGGTGCCCCAATCCCGCCGCGGATCTTCGTGAGCGACCACCCGGGTACATCCTTCGGTCTGGCCGGCGACGGAGCCCGGTTTATCTTCTTCTTCTTACCACCGGAAGGCTGAGCGGACGGCACGGCAGGGAGCTCCGTGGTCTCCTCCCGGGGATTCTGCTCCCCCGGCACCGCGTGCGGCGTGTGCCCGCTGTCGCAGCCCTCCGTCCCGCCTCCGCTTTCCATCTTCTGCCGGAGATGGAGTCTCCGTTCCTTGGGCGAGGCGAAGAAGAGGTGAGTCGGGGTGTTATGGACATCAACCTCCTTTGTTTTTGTCATTCATTCCGGTTAGGCCGAAACAAGAAAAGCAGAAATGAAACCTCCTGCTTCAGGGGGAGAAGAGGGGAGGCAGAAGTTGTGGAGCGGAGGAGTGTGAGTAAACAACCGCAGAGCAACACAAAGGGAGGAGATCCTCTTCTGCAGCCACAGCCTGAGCCCCCGGAGCGCAACAGGACCAGGAAGCAGCAGGAGTCCAGTAAAACCACAACGTGTTGTCCTGTTGTCCAGCGTGTGACTCTGGTAGATGTGTTAATAATCCCGCTTTGTTCCGAGGTGTCCTCCTCTCCGCGCTTCACTGTCTCGGGGACATTCACCGGCCGGTTCCTGCTCATGGAGCTGAGACTGAGGACAGAGGGAGAGTGAGGGTAAGGGTTGTCTCGCTGTCTCTCTCTCTCTCTCTCTCTCTCTCTCTCTCTCTCTCTCTCTCTCTCTCTCTCTCTCTCTCTCTCTCTCTCTCTCTCTCTCTCNTCTCTCTCTCTCTCTCTCTCTCTCTCTCTCTCTCTCTCTCTCTCTCTCTCTCTCTCTCTCTCTCTCTCTCTCTCTCTCTCTCTCCGCCCAGATAACGGGATGCAGCTCTGGAGCAGAGAGAGAGAGAGAGAGTCGTTTCTGCAGCTCTCTATCGCCACCACTGCACGACAATAAGAAAAACACGAGGAGCAAGCAAATCAAATAAGATGTAAGGATGTTAAAGGAGCAACATACACAGTGGCTTCATGTTAAATGATTAAATTAAACACTCTGTATTTTATGTAGTTCAGGGTGTGAAAAGCAACAGTGTGAGGCTGTCAGTACCACACCATACAGCCCCCCACATTACTATGTTTACTGGTTGTGCTAATGGATCCCTCTGCACCCTGTCAGCATGTATTATTTATGTTTATTTGTATAGATAGACATTTACAGCATCTGTAGGCATCACAGCATCTCTAGTTCTTCTAATCTACCACCAAAGTCCTCAGCAGGGCTTTTCTACAAGTTTACAACCTTTTTTTCTTTTCTTTTAAAGGTTTCGTTTCCATTTCTTCCTTGACATTGTGATCAGTACAACTTCATGTATGTGAAATCCAGTTATATGCCTTGACAAACCAGTGTAGTTTCAGTCTACAGACATAAAATCCCCAGATACTTGAGGTCAACATGACCTTGACCTTTGACCTTTGACAATCAAAATCCAATCAGTCCGTCTTTGAGTCCAACTGAACGCTTGAACCAAATTTGAAGAAATGCCCTTAAGGTGATCCTGAGATGTTGTGTTCACAAGAGCAAAGACGTGTTTTGTTAGCTAACAGTGACCGTAACCTTTGACCACCAAAATCCAATCAGTTCATCCTTGTGTCAAACAAAATGTTTGTACCAAACTTGAATCAATTATCTCAAAGTGATCTTATCATTTTCATCAGGACAAAGGATGGACGTACGTTGTACATGGATGGAAGAGAATCCCGAAAATCTAATGCCATTGGTTGCCAGTCCAGAGTTATTAAAGAAATCGCAGGCTTATACTCTATATATGAGACTGGTAATCAGTACAAACAACAATTACAAGTAACCCAAGCGAAAAAACAAAAACATATTATTACATTTCCAGAGCGATCATCCATATAGCAAAAGTGAATATTTAATTTGATTTGGCAAATTTCTCTGGCAAATTTGGCACATTTTCCCTGATTCAACACAACAGTTGAGCCTTTTCTGTCTTTGCTGTGAAATACTCCATCGGGACACTTGTAGGGAGGAATGAAGTTCTCTCTAAAGAAAAAAAACATCTGGAAACATATTTACTTTGTCTGAAGCACTTTGAAATTAAATTAAAATAAGCCGGGTACCACTAAATGATGGAGTACAGAATTCGAACGGACCAAAAAAATGTAAATGCCCCACACAAATAACTAAGTGAATAAAATAATGTCTAATTGTTATAATTCACAATGAAACAGTATTTCATCAGAATCTAATATCCAACTTGTTTTCTGAATTTGTATCCAGAACATCTGTATGCAGACAAAAACAAAGCCATTCTATCCTGTCATGATTAATTCACCTTCATCTGCACATGGTAACTGGGCAGTGGGTCTCATGTTTCATCTATGTCTCTGTCACACACAGAGCAAGAGTGTGATCCGATATCAGCTAAAAAGAGAAGAAAACCCCTGATTCCTCAGACAGCAGGTTAATGCATTCGACACAGTCAAACCATTTGATTCCTTGTTATAATAAACGCGTGTTCTGCTGTTCTCAAACAAAAGTCACAATTAGCCGCAGCCACTAAGTTATTCTGGATGTATATAAAATGGTGATGTCATTGTATGCGATACTGAGACATGTCATTTTCATCCCATCATAATCCAAAATCTGTAATTGAAGCTCTGTATCTTATGTCATCTTTTAAATCTCCTGTTGTCTTTTGTCTTCTACACTCTTACATTCATTCGTTACAGCCTCTTCATCGTGCTATTACTCTGCCACCTTTCATCCAGACAAAGAGTTAACGGGTTATCATTAAATCATAAGTAGCTTTTAATATCCTTGAATGATCTTTTACAAATGCAAGAGCAGGCTGAAGCTTTTGTCCACAGATATCTATTGTCTGATGCATAGGTCTAATTTCAAAAAAGACTTTGTGTGCACCATTTGTGCAGTAATGTTGAGTTGCATGCTGGTTAAGCGAGAATGAACAAATTCTAATTTTATAGAGTTTGTGTTTTGTGGACTCAAACACTTCACCCACCCCTCCATCGGCATAGTGGTGAGTAGATGATGAGTGCATTTTCATTTTTTCAGTGAACTATCCTTTAAGCTCTTCCAAATTTGGGTACTTCTGTTTAAAACAACGAAAAACAAAGATGGCGCTGGATAAAATGTGAAACTCAAGGCTTTAACACACCAGCTCACAAAGCAATGGATGACATCCCGGCCGGTTGCCTCTTGGCTGAAGCTGATACTTAACGATAAATGTAAGTACTGGACAAATTGAAATTCAGACTAGATGGTGGTGCTGGATGAGAAATTAATGGATCACAAAAGAGACTTCAACTGAACCACATGTGGGCATGAATGCCAAGAGACAAGATATTCTCTAAAACTGCAGATTTTGACCTCACGACGGCACTAGAGGGAAAGTCAGGGGGTCAATGAAGTCAGTAGCTTTATCATCTGGGCACAGTGAATGTCTGTATGCAATTTAAAGGCAATGCATTCAGCAGCTGTCAAGACTTTAAATATGGAAATTAATTCCTGATCATATACTGTCACAGAATGTTCTGTAATTTCATTCCCTTCAGCTGAAAATGTCTTGGTCATTACAGAGCATGTACACTAGTAAAATGTGTTTCTGTTGCATTTTCTATATGTGACAGGAAGGTTATGTCATCTCCATTAACAGATGATTTGTTTCATTATTAAAGCTAAAACGTAGAGTGGGTCCTCATTCCCTATACTCCCACGTAACTCATCTCTAATAATAACCATATTCAAGTTTCCTCAACAACAGCATGCGCCCTCGCTTACGCTCGACAATGTTCCTTTATAAGTTCCAACGTTAATGCTGCAGCATTTCTATTGTCAGATCCTGACCTTTTCATGGCTGTTTGTAACACTGTGACCATCGTCGGATTAAAGTCTTCTCACACGGTCAATGCAAGATGTCGATTCACTCCGTGGTGGCAGAATCACACTCTGTGAATGATTTATGAGCAGAAACTCTAGAACAGCAAACACAGAATTAGAGCAGTTAGAAAAGATTTTACCATTCAGGGATCTGCACATTTCTAATGTCACAGAGGGATTGCCATAATTACACTTGCTCTAATAACAGGACTGTTGTATCAATAATACGTAACAATTAGAAAATACGATATTTTGTGCACTTCTGCTCTTGACCAGCCGCCATGTAACACTGCAAGGTTTCACTGTTTATTTCAAGCTTTTTACTAGAAAGTGTTTTATTGTCCTGAAAGTTAATTTTAAACACACTAGAGCCACTCAAAATAAATAACATTTTTTCAAAGTGAATGATTTAATCAGAATAATAAATTCCCTAAAATAAAACCCTTGTCCCTGGTTGGTATTTCACTCTAAACTGTTCAAACAGAAATATATTATGTATTATCCCAAAAAATCCCATTCCCTTGACCTTTGCTCACTTCTTTGGCAAATTTTATAAAATCATCCAGCAGTGACCCTACACTTATAGAGAGATACTCCCCATGTGCAGGAGGGACCATGCATTTAAAAGCATGGAGTCTTTAAATCATTCATGGCCAATGATCCTGCAGGGGCAGCCACAGAATTACATCCAGTAGACAGTACATCTTCATTCATGTCAATGCTCGCAGTGTGTTTCATCCAAGCCACATATTAGATATACTCCACAACTCAAATCGTTCTGTTATCACCACTAATATAATTTAACTAATAACAAGCTGGGTGAGGTTTTTACATGTGTTGTTTTAAATTCAAGAGCCTCAAAGCTGTTTTATGTGGAAAATCCTTTTGTGCAGGGGATGTGACGTATTCTATACATCTGGTTTCTTTTTGACAATAAAAAAAGAATAAGAGGCTTTGTGCGGCAACCATACAAGCAGCTCGGCTGAACTGTGACAGAATCAAACTGACAAATTATAAACCTGACTGCTGCCGACAGTAACCCTGAGAATGACAACACCGGGACCTCAGTGACCACCTCTCCATGCCCGCCTGTGAAATAACACAGCAGACAGTTTGATTTGCTATAATAAGAAATGTACAGGATTTTAACTATGATGCCTCTGTTCCATTCATGTGTCACATTGAGCCATGACTGTGACGATGATCGAGCAATCACCACACCAGCCCCCTCAAACTTAAACAGCTAAATGGAACTCAGCCATTAATAATGTCATTATTTGCGTCTTTGTTTTTTCTACTGTGGCAAATGTAAATATCTGATGAGGAAAAGGCCCATTTATGCAGAAGTATTCCAGCAGCCAGACCATTTTTGTTGCTGTTGCAGCACATTGGAATCTTCAATTACACACTTAACAAGGATCCTATTCATGTCCTACTACAATTTATCGTAGTACAATGGATCCTTGAATCATTAATGAACAGGCCATCCATTGTGGCAAGTGCTTCACCAACAGCACCAACAATGTTGGCCCTCACAAAGCTGTGCACCAAGTGGCCTCATAAAAACCCTTGTGGAATAAAACAAATTGAAATGATATTTAGGTTTATTAGATTTTTGATTCTATAAATGTGGTGATTGACAGCTAAGACTGACTTGTGATAAGTTGGTCGTGTGTATTGGTGGGACCATGATACCGTGGCTCCATCTGCTGATCACGACTACACAGACTCTGGCTCATCGGCACGAGTTGTTAGCATTGTACAGTGTACAGGA